AACATGAGCTCTCTGGCCCTGCAGCAGTGCATAAGTCTTCCCCCCGCCTCACCCGGCTGTAAATCAGGCAAAAGTCCTCTTTATTTCCTAATAAATCCCACTCGTATCCCACCGCCTGCTTAACATGAGCATGGTTTGTAAAGCCCACCACGTGCCGTTTAACGCACGTTTGGACTTGTGGTCCCCCAGTCCAGAATACACATTATGAAATGGCAGCTTGGGTCAGGAGGTCACATCTTAAAAGAACAGTCCATCCAAAAAAATTTTATTTGCTGAAAATGTACTAACCCTCAGGCCATCCAAGGTGTAGATGAGTTTGTTTGTTTATCAGAACAGATTTGGAGGAATGTTGCATTACATCATTTGCTCACCAATGGATCCTCTGCAGTGAATGGGTGCCATCAGAATGACAACCCAGACAATAATCCAGAAATAATCCACGACTCCAGTCTATCGGTTAATGTTTTGTAAAGCAAAAAGCTGTTCATAATAATTCATAATAACACTTCCTCAGGTGAAAAAAGTTCATTCGAAATCCACCGACATATTTGTTTATACACTCTAAAAAATGCTGGGTTAAAAACAACCCAACTTGGGTTATTTGGCAACCCAGTGCTGGGTAAATATTGGAAAGAACACATGCTGGGTTATTTTGACCCAGCTGGTTGGGTTAAACATTTTTACCCACCATGCTGGGTAGTTTTATTTAAGTCATCTATTGTTTACAAATTATTATATTGCTGGCTTAAATGGGCTGGAAATTAAAAATCACACACAGATTTACTATAGACAACAGCAATAATCAAAAGATGAATATTTATTATTAAGCAAGAACATGGACAAAATACAGGTTAAATTGAATTTATTTGGGTAAATACAGCATAAACTTGTTTAACAAGCATTTTAGAAATAAAAAAGGCACATTTAAAAGTAGCATTTTAATTTAAGTGTATTAAACCATTGTCTGTAATCACTTTTTCACCGAAATAGTGCTAATTCTCGTGCCGGTGTGTCGCTGAAATCTGAGCCGGTGAAGGGCTGCTGTTCGCGCTTTCGCGGGGGAACTGCGAACTTTAGACCGCGGCCTCGCGCTTCACTCGTAGCTGAAAGATGCTATGACTAACTCCAAAACCTGCCCATAAACAAACAGTACTGAGATTAGAGAACATATTTTAACATCAAATTAAATTACACTCAGTATTACAACGAATAAAATCCATTTATGTTATGCACGGCAAAAGGCATTTCCATCGTGCAAAACGACCGCTGCTGACGCAGCTGACATCTCGTCCTTATGTTGCGTAAAATAATATAGTTTGCACCACAGTAAAGACTTTATAAATTAAAGAAAATGTATACAAACCTTTATTTCCCGGAAAGTGTGCACCAAATCGGCAGTGCTGAGAACCGCTCTCTCCTGTAGGACGCAAAAAGCCCATGCTCTGACTGTAACTCAGCAGCTGCATTGTTTCATCGGAGGCAGGCTCAACCCAATGGTTAAGTTAAAAAAAGATAATAACCCAGCGTTAAAAATGAACATCAAATTAAATTACACTCAGTATTACAACGAATAAAATCCATTTATGTTATGCACGGCAAAAGGCATTTCCATCGTGCAAAACGACCGCTGCTGACGCAGCTGACATCTCGTCCTTATGTTGCGTAAAATAATATAGTTTGCACCACAGTAAAGACTTTATAAATTAAATAAAATGTATACAAACCTTTATTTCCCGGAAAGTGTGCACCAAATCGGCAGTGCTGAGAACCGCTCTCTCCTGTAGGACGCAAAAAGCCCATGCTCTGACTGTAACTCAGCAGCTGCATTGTTTCATCGGAGACAGGCTCAACCCAATGGTTAAGTTAAAAAAAGATAATAACCCAGCGTTAAAAATGACCCAGCAACTTAGTTACAGAAAAATTACCCAGCACCTGGGTACAAATATTAAAAATAACCCAATAAAATTACCCAACAAGATGAACACAGCATTTGGGTTAAAAAAAATAACCCAGCATGTTTTTAGAGAGTAGCTGTTTTGGACCGTTTTGTGCTTGTAAATAGTGCTGGATATGTGCATATTTCTCCCCTGATTCAGACAAGATGGCTTTCTCACTAGAAAAAGCAACTTTATGGATAGAGGACGTGTATTTTTGCCAGAAACAACACTTTGAAATTAAAAAACATCTTATTAATGGATTACTTGTGGATTATTGTGATGTTTTAATCAGCTGTTTGGACTCTCATTCTGACAGCACCCATTCACTACAGAGGTAATGCTAAATTTCTCCAAATCTGTTCCCATGAAGAAAAAACTCATTTACATCTTGGATGGCTTGAGGGGGAGTACATTTTAAGCAAATTTTAATTTTTTAGTGATCTATTCCTTTGAGGCAAGACACCCCAGATGAATAGGGTAATAAAATGAAAATAAAAATAAATAAACTAATAGATATCACCATACTTCTTAGGCTGATTGATTACATGAAAAAAAGTATTACAAATATCATAATTTTTTTCCCCCTTGAAGTGAGACATCTAATTAAATATGTACCAATTACGACATACTACCAAAGGTGTTTACAGAAGGGATTTTTGATATCTCTTTTTATAACCTAAATCAGAAAATGCTGTCTACATCATTTTCACCATGTTTTTAGGAATAAAATGTTGTATAAAATCAGGAAAGTATATATATATACAAACCCCCTCTGTCAAAACCGTTTGGTGTATGTAAGTGTTTCTGAAGTGGAGATTTCTGTGCAGTGCATGAGAAGAAAAAAAACTCATTTTGAGAAAATAGCAAATACAATAAACACACCAAAGTGTATTTTGCATGTTTCTTCCCACTAGTCTGAATAAACACATTATGAAAAGCCAAATCTTAAAATTGACCAGTGCGTGAAAAAACAATGTTTTTGCCTGTAGTGTTTCACCTTAAACGCTAACATATATGAGCCTTCCATTACACATGTGCGTTATAGTCACTGAAAATTGTATTCACCCCAAAATTTCCTCTAGCAGGCTAAGAGATCCATGACTCTGGACAGCTAATTTATCTGCTGGTGTCAAGCAGGAGGCAGGAGGGGGAGGAGGGGCGGAACCGGGCCGGCGGAGAGCGGGAGGGGGCGGCACTGCGGAGAGAATGGAATGTGACAGTGCTCCTCTCCGCTGTGTTCATTCCTAGTCTCATGCTAATTAGCACTGGGAACAGGCTGCCAGAGCCATGAGAGGTGCCTCTGGTGCAACATGATGCAATGCAGGGCTTCCCTGTCCTATATCAATGCAGAAACCTCTGTGGCTCATATCAAAGCTGCATCTTAGTAGACTGTGTCATCCTGCTGGGCTGGATCTGTTGCTTTGCTGCAGGCAGAAACGGGTTTATCAAAAGATTTTGTTTTCACGCCGTCGTTGGCATTGACATGTATTCAGTCATTTAATGTGCTAGGTAGGCTAATTGGTTAGAGCTCTACATGTTCTTATTAAATCCAAAGAACCGCTGGTTGTGGATCAGATGTGGTTTGATGAAAAACGGTAGGTTGGTCACTGAAGCTTTAGCTTGTGTTGATTCTGAAAATGGAAAAGGGCAGCTTCTATCGCTCTTATGTCTGATGAAAGGCTATTGATTACAAAACTGAATGAGTAATATTGAAGGGAATATACAGTCTGGGTTCTGTTGAGGCACTTTCAGTCCTTGCTCTCAGGTCTACATTCTTTCTTGTGGTTTGGTTGCTAGGCACTTCATCAGGAAACTTAATTAGAATGTGTGCAGGGTTTATTTTTCTGTCTGTTCTCTTACAAAGCCACTGCACCAAAAGCTCAAATAAAGGTATTTTGCTACATACATAAATGGAGAAATGCACCAGCAAGTTGTCTACAAAATTTACAAAATAAAACAGCTGAAGGCATTCACTATAAATACCTCAAGTGAATTTAGGAATAACAGCATTATAATGTCCAGTATGAAAAATGGATATTCGTTTTGAGATTTGCTAAAGATTACATTTAGAAACACTGAAACTTTTAAATGTGACAATGCACCAAAATAGACCAGTACCATAAAAAACAAATAGATAAATCTCTAATGTCAGCCAGTATCCAATATGGGGCTAATATGCATCTCTATATATATGCTATCATTCAAAACTTTGCCAGTAAGAAATATCATTTTCATTATTTATTTATTTTATTTTATTAAAAGAAATTAATGCTTTTATTCAGCAAGGATGATTTAAATTTATCAAAAGTGAAAGTGAAGAATCCAAGAAAAAAAATCAAGTCATCATGGTTTCCACATGCACCAAGTCAGCATATTATAATGATTCATTCAGGATCATGTGACACTGAAGACTGAAGCAATGATTCTGAAAATTCAGCTTTACCATCACAGGAATAAATTACATTTAAATATATATTCAAACAGAAAACCTGTTTTCAATTCTAATAATATTTCATAATATTACTGTTACTTTATTTTTTTATCACATAAATGCAGCCAGTCTTTATAAATGCATATTGGGTGTTTTACCATAGTGATTGGTAGATCTGTTTTTTCCATTCTCTCTTTTCCAAACATTTTAACGTGCATATATGCTATCTATGATTTATTCCATTCAAACCAGCGTAGGCTGGCAACTTTATCTCCCCAGTGTCAGTGTTGGCTCAGACAGCTGATGTTTCAGGATCAAACCAAACAAACTGTGTTTGAGTATGTGCTAGTCTGTGTCATGCTATTTACACATTTACTGGAAATGTCACAAACAAGAGTATGTGAAAACAGTCTGCCAGATTCACTGAGAGGTGTTTTTAGTCTAAAGATCGCATTTTTGGTGCCATCAGGCATGTGTTGATTTGAATTTGGATGACTGTGAATATATAAGGGAGGTGCAATTAATGAATTTATTTAAAGCAGAATAACATCATTTGGCAGGGAATCTCACACTCAATTCCCAATTGAGAAGGTGCCTTCATTTCTTTGCGTTTGTGTTTCTCTTCGACGCAGATTCAAGAGCAGATGGAGCGCCACAGAAAATCGATCACGCCGTCATCGGCGGCATTGTCGCGGTGGTTGTGTTCGCCATGCTTTGTCTCCTGATTGTTCTCGGACGATATTTTGCAAGACACAAAGGTAAATCAAAAGGCACGATTCTGACTTCGGCTTGATTTTGGGTTGTTCTTTTTTTTTATCTGTGGAAATGACAAATGTTCCTGTTTTAAGGTACCTACTTTACCCATGAAGCCAAAGGAGCGGACGATGCTGCAGATGCAGACACTGCCATCATCAACGCAGAGGGGGGACACAACAATTCGGATGACAAGAAGGAGTACTACATTTAACTCTGACTAGACCTGCTAGCTTCCTGTGCTGAACAGCAAACTGTGGACTGCTGGGTTGGGAGGTAGGGGTTGTGGGTTTCAATCAGGCTGGATTCACACCTGTGCAGCTGAAAACACGGTGAGGAGAAGGTGCTGCCATCGAGACGGACGGGGTGTGGGATGGCAGAGCACTAGGAGAGCTCAATTTTAGGCCGCTTCACCATCCAACACCTCCTGCTGGGGCCGGTTTTGTTCAGTTTAAACATTTGCTAAGAATTTCGTGCCTTGTTCTGTTCTTACTGAAGTTCCCACTTTCATCAGGACACCCACAAGCCACTGTCTCTCGAACGGTCTGAACCCACGGTTATTTTGTTTTCGTTTCATTTCAGTTTTAATTGCCAGCACTCTCTCACGCCGTTCTGTCTGCAGGTCTGAAAGAAAGCCACACACAAAGTTTCGATGTAAGATTCAGTCACAGAACGATCGCTTGGGTTGTTTTCATGGATTGATTCCAAGTAATTTATTTGGCAAATTGCCCGTTGCTCTCCTTAGTCCCTTAGAGAAGATAGAAACCTCTTTTGTTGTGACCAACAACATTCAGCAGCAGTATTGCGTTGTTGCGTTATTTATTAGATATACTGTATGTGATTATAATCAGCTTGTGTTGATATTAGGGCTGTCAATTGGACACAATACTTCAATACCATTAAATATAATAAAAAAAATGTTTTTTCCATTTTAATCCATATATACATTTTGTCAATGACATTACGCATTTTTGTCCAATCTATTTATTTATTCAAAATAATCCTATTATTATTAGGCATACTCTTTTAATATTTTTAGAAAACATTATCAAAACTGCTGCACTGTTTATAAATATGTGGGGGGGGGAATCAAAATCATGTGGCACAATCAACATGCAAAAAATAGATCATTTATAGTTTAAGTATAATGTAACTCCCCAAAGATGTTATGATATTTATGAATTAATAATATGTAATAATTATTTATGAATTAAACAATTAATTTATGGGTTAATCATTAAATTTACCATTTAATTTTGTCAAGATTTGTTTTCAAACTACTCATATGGTGCATTAAAATGTGGTGCTCATGGCGTAAACTGGCAACAAAAAAAATTTGCATTTCAACAAAATATCACAGACTGAATAAATTGACAAATCCTCTTGATATTGGACAGACAAGTCAACCTCTCAAATGATTTACTGTGGACTGTAGGTTGATTGATTGACATACTCAATGATATGGAAATTAAACAAACAGCATATTGTCCTCATATGCCTAATTTGAATTAATTTGATTAATTCATCAGCATACGTTGTAGTTGGTTTGATTCAAACTTTTAAACGATTGACAGCCCTAATTGTTCCTTAGATACACTGTATGTGATTATAATCGGCTTGTGTTGATATTCATTCCGGCTTGTATCGCATTATCCATATACCAGCCTCACTCACAGACTAATTTATTGTAATTAACGCCCAAGCATTAAAATTGAATGCCAAAGCAAAGAAGAGCAGATCGGCTCCTGGCTCAGCTGTACAGGAAGGCCGTCACAAAGATGTCCCCTTCTATGAAACACAACATATCTATCAGAGTGTAAAATAGCTTTCATTTTTAGCTTGTTCTCATTCAGTAGGCTCAGTATGAGGTCGAGGTCAGTGAGTTTCTCCGAATATTGTTAGTGCTTCTGTGCGCTTCTCATAGTGACATAAAAAACTTTCTTACTAAATGAAATAGATGGAGCCTGTATGTTGTAAGCCATACTCACAGTTGTGCCCTCCAACACATTTCAGTTAGCAGCTCTTATCCTCGATTCCTTCAATCCAGCTTATGTGTAGATGCCAGATTGAATGTGATAACTCTACAATAATGCAATAGTTTATAAAAGTGAGTCCGGAATGTTTTGTTTATCTCATCAAACATGCTTTATTTTCAGGTGATGAATGCGAGGGAGAATTTTACTAGGGACACATATTATGTTTCATCACTCGTAAATGTATTATAAATGTATAGAGCGTGAAATTATTACATTATTGTAGAGTTAGTATATAGTTGGTGAAATATTACACTCATATCAGGCATTGTTTCATATCTTTGGCCTTCATTCAGCGTCCTAGACAGTTGGACAGATGCGTATTGTTTGTGATTAACTACATGGGGGCATTTTGGAGTTATGGTGAGAGTGCGCTTAACATTGTAAAATCCTTGTGACAAAATTGTTTGGTCATAGCGTTTACATGAATTTGTGTATTATCAAGTGTTAATTTTTGTTTGTTTGTTTTTTCTTAGTGTTATTTCTGAGATTATCTGACAGTTGTGCATTATTTAGATTTGAAACGCTAATAAAGTATGGTATATTCGTGCAAGGCTCTTGTAGCTAATGCCACTCTTTATACTTGGTTATATGGAAAGAAACGTTCTTTATGATTGTCATTGTATGTTGTACAGAATTTTGTGGTTTTATACAGCAGAAGATTTATTTAAACATATCATGTTCTGAATGCCTAAAACACTAAACTGATTTAGAATGAAGTAAATGAAAGTTAAATTATTGCCCCCTAAAAATAACTTTGGCCCAAAGTTCATACATTACTATTCAAAAGTTGGGGGTCAAAACTATTTTTTGTTTATATAAATTAATACTTTTATTCCATAAAGATGACAGTGACAATAAGTGACAATAAAGACATTTATAATGCTAGAAAACAATTATATATCAAATAAATAGTTCTTTTCAACAGTCTATTAAAAAATGTAAAATATGTCTCATGAATGTTAAGCATCACAACTGTTTTCAACACTGATAATAATAAGAAATTAGAATGATCAGCATATTAGAATGATTGAATTCTGAAGGATCATGTGACACTGAAATTCAGCTTTGCCATCACAGGAATACATTAATTATTTTATTCAAATAAATGCAGCTTTGGTGAACATAAGAGACTAATTTCAAAAACATAAAAAAATCTTACCAACCCCAAACTTTTGAACAGTAGTATACATAAAAAAATCAATATGTGCATCCAATTGACATTCCAAGCATGTGAATAAAAATAAAAGTAATTTATAAATGTATACTATATCATTTCGCTCAATTATCATACTGTACTTGTAATGGCATGAAGCTATTTCCAACGTTCACATGTCAAATATGGAGTGAGGGCTACAAAGAGTCATAACATGGTGAGGGTCTCCACAGGGGATCCACCAAGCTATACAGCCAGATCACTCCTTTCCTTTCTTTTCTAATGTTTACTTTAATATTTACAAGTGAAATGGTAAGTGATCTAAAACTGCCCAAACCTGAAGAAAAAAAAACATGCACACACAAACATACCTTCAGTGTAGGTTTGATTCTGCCCTGTCTCAGGTCTGTCTATGAATTCATTTTTTGCATCTCAGGTAGAATGCAAAAGTGATGCCCCATATCTGAAAGAAAAGACTTTAAATTATTATCAAAAGATCCTGCAGAATAGAGCATGTTCGACATGTTTTATCTGTACTTCAGATGCTGTGCACTGTGTAAATGTTCATATTACTTTGTATAGATAGGTCACAGCAGATGATAGGTTTATTTAAAGAAAATAAATCTAAGACGTGAATCTTAGTGCGTACATTTACAATGCATTTTCCATTTTTAGACAACCTGTACCACCAGAGCCATTCAATGTTTCTATAGGTTTTATGTCAGATATTTTGTCTCATCTCTGTAGTTTGTATTCCTGTGTAATTAAAGTTATTTACATGTTCCCGATTACACTTTGTATTTGACCATGAAAATACATTTTTACAGAAATGGAGCAGTACTGTCTTAATAAAAAGAGGTATTAATGTTCAAAAAGCAGTTTAATTGTGTCTTATACGTTTACTGAAACTGATATCCTTCATGAAGTGTCCAATTAGCACCGTTCCAGACGTGCTCTACACCACTTTATATAGAAACATTTGATTTCTATCGAATTGCTAAAATAGTCTCATTTGTCATACTGAGGATGAATTACCTGGTAGCACGTTTCATCGAGATTCGTGGTTTGGCAATGCTGTAAACATATGTTGTGAAATTCCAAACCTAAGTGCCAAACCTAATTACAATAAGTGAAACGTGAGGAAAACGGAGCAGAAACAGCAGCGTGTTAGTGTATAATTGAGCTTGTGTTGCATTGGAATGAGGAGACATGCCAGATGACTTGCACTTTTGTTCTACTTTTGGCACCTAAGAGCCTTTATGACTAATAAGAAACTATTAATCCGTTTAATCCAATTATAATTAGTAGTGCTTGCTAAGGAAAGCAGTACTACGTTGCTCGTTCTTAACATTAAGGATTTCGAACAAACGCAGCCCTACATATTAACTATCAGAGCAACCAATCAGAGCACCCTAGCAACTACCTAGAAACCACCCAGAGCCCTTTAGCAACATTCAGAATATGTATAAAATGAGTTATAATTACTGTAACTTGTGTAACATGGACACTGTCTTGTAAAATGTTACAGTTATGCTGTGGATAACATCTGCATCAACTCCTTCCTCTTGCTTACTGTGAAGAAAGTACACATTTGTGTTGATTGCATTATTCAATTCACATTGAACTCTTTATTAATTTTCAGTGCATTTCATAAGCATAACTGTGAACATCTCTGCCTAATGAAAAAGGCAAAACCACCCATGAGAAAACGCACTGGAGTTATTTATATATGGTCTCTCAGTTGTTGTTCTTAAGTTCATGCATGAAGTTCCTCTCGAGAGGGTCATTGATTGGTGATAAATTCTTAGGAAGGGTAGGTCAGCGCAAAATACAAGTGTTATAACTTTAATGCTTTCAGTGCTGTGGTAAATATCCTCCTGGGTGAAATAAATGTGGTCTTAATAGAAGAACCACACAGTTTCCTCGTAGCTGAGCTACAGTACTACTACTTATTTTTTATTTGTAAGAGCCTCAGAGATGATTTCCAGAATCATCCCACTGATTTACCTTTGTGTTAAATTAAGTCTGTCAACAGCATCTGTTATATGCTATCAATTACATTTATGTATTTGGTTTACACTTTTATCCAAATTGCTTTACATTTGATCAGTTCATCCATTATCTAGGAATCAAACCCTTGACCTTGGCAATCTTAGTGCCATGTGCTACTGTTTGCACTAACTAACTATAGATGATCATTTCAATGTCCCTCAGATTAAAAAAATACACTAAAACGTTGTGCAAATTTGCCAGTGTTCGCAGATTTTTCATGGACGAAATTCAGTCATTTCAAAAGGAATCCACAAATTTCATGTGAGGGCGACAGATTTTGCAACAGGTTCAAGTTGGTCACACGGATTCGCTACTTGTTTGAAAGTGACTTCTGTGTGAGATGTGCTTGATACGGTACATGACACTATTATCAAAAGACAATGCCTGTGAAATTTTACCTATGTGCCAAGTCATTGTTTCGCCAAACTTGATGTAGCATATGTGCATTGTTGAATGTTTTAATTTGAGAGTGACCAAAGGCTTACATTTCAATCTCTTCATCACACAAAGTGATTGAATCATACGGATCAATTTCTCACATCCAAACACACTGGACCCCATTGACTTATATGAATATAGAAACATTTCTTCTTTTGCAGAAAGCGTTCAGCAAAAATAAAGTCATTTACAC